CAAATTTTCTGCTTATGGGTTTTCAGGTGTTTAAGTAGAATTTAAGCAAGACTTTTAAACAGTATTATACTTTGATTCTCCCGACAGCTACACAGTGAACTGAACACTGCCTGTCATGGGCACATGGCGTGAGTTCAAGATGAGGTCGAGTGACAAACACATTCTGGCATGGCCCAAACTCAGGGCTGAAAGCATAATAAAATGTGACGATAACTCTTACTTCGTGTGACCTGTAAAGACAGACTGAGTCATCACACAAAAAATGTTACAATATCCTGAACAGAAAACTCCAAGCAATTGGTTATGAAACCTCTAGGATTCTGAGAAGGCAGGACTGAGCGTGCCAAAACACGAAGGCACTTCAAAGAGACTGGGGTAAGATCAAATCAGCTGAAGTAAGAGAGTTTCTCAAGTCTGATGGTTAAAAATACTTTGCAGATGCAAATATTGATTACTGGTGTGCAGAGCTCAGGTAAGGCCAGCTCTGGAGCACAGGAAAACAAAGCGTAACTTTGAGTGATTTTATACTGGAAACATCCAGCAACCCTAGATGGATCTTAGATGATACATTTCTCTTAGTACAACCAGTGATGAGGCTTCTGGAGTTACTCTTATCTGCCACTCCAAGAACTGTGTCAAAACCTTTCCAGAAAATAAACAACCCCAAGAAAACCCCATATTCCCTCTCTCTGCCTGTAGTTACATGCACTTGACATCAAACAGCTCAAATGACTTGGCTACTTGGTTCTCACCACTGTTAAGGACAGAAAGAAGCACTTTGGTTCTTTCATCTACAACTTCTTCTAGCTGCCCCTGCAGCTTGACTGAGCTCACTGAACTCCACTCATTTATAGAAAGCAACTACAAAACAGAAAGCTTCCCTAAAATAAAATGATGCAATGAACTCCTACCAGGAAGATCATTCCTTTCAAGCCCAAATCAAACACAAAACTCATCCCCTTTAATTCTGGCAGCAGAAGAGAGCATCAAAAGATATCAAAAAGCATTTCATGTGCTGCAAATTAGTCTGTCTTGAAACAAACACCAATAAATCAGCACATGCCTATTTCCATGACAGAACTTACTTTAACCTGTCGTTACTTGCTTTAAGACAAGCTGAAATAGGTCTAGACACAATGTTCTGCGCAGGCTACACTGGGTTTACATAAAGTGCTGCATTTCAGCCATAAGATCAAAACATCAATGTTATTATGGAAAATAAAGACAACTGTTGCACAGGCTGCTTTGCAGAAGAACATTTGTTAATGATGTAAATAACAGCGTTATGCTATAAACAGTGCATTTATTTTAGCAAAAGATGACTGCTTCCCTAAACAGAATAATAATAAAGGCACATGGAAATTGAGCCTGGAGAATAATAAATCTCACAAGCAGCTTTGCCTACACACTAACCCACAGTTCCTGACCCCAATAAATGACCGTTTTGATGCTCAGATTACTGAAAACACTTCTGAGAACTGAGCACTGAGGTATTTATAACCCTCAAAGCCAGGTGACTGTGAGCAGTGCAGCCTCACAGCCCCTGCACAGGATAAACAAGGACACACCTGAACAGCGAAAGCTCAGCCTTCCCATTGATTTCCAGACACAACTTCCTCCCAATGAACCGTGTGTGACTGCTGCTAATGCCAGCAGGAAGGATTGGGACTAAGGTGAGGATAAGGCTCTCACAGGGACCACAGGTGAACTTTCTGCCTTAAAGCAATAATCTACAGCTACAACATGATTTGGGTTGTAGCAACCTTGGCAAAACAATTCAAAACACTCTCCCTACACAGGTTTTTAGCCTCCCAGTTTTATAGAATCCTAGAATAGTTTAGGTGGGAAGAGACCTTAAAGCTCATCCAGTGCCACCCCCTGCCATGGGCAGAGACATCTCCCACTATCCCAGGTTGCTCCAAGCCTGTCCAGCCTGGCCTTGAACATTTCCAGGGATGGGGCAGCCACAGCTGCTCTGGGCAATCTGTACCAGGGTCTCACCACCCTCACAGGGAAGAGTTTTTTCCCAAAATCCCATCTAAGCCTACTGTCAGGGTGAAGTTCTTCCCCCTTCTCCTGTCACTCCAGGCCCTTGCAAACAGCTTCTCTTTCTGCAGGCTCCCTTCAGCTTCTGGAAGGTCACAACACAGTCACCCCAAACCTTCTCTTTTCCAGCCTGAACAATCTCAAATTTCAGCCTTTCCTCACAGCAGAGCTGCTCCATCCCTCTAATCATCTTGGTGGTTTCCTCCAACAGCTCCATGTCCTTCTTGTGCTGGACCCCAGGGTTGGAGGCAGCTCTGCAGTTGGGGTCTCACCTGAGTAGGGCAGAGGGGGAGAATTCCCCCCTCCCCTGCTGCCCACACTGGGGGATCAGCCCAGGCTCCGGGAGTTCTGAGTCCAACACATGTGGCCAGGGCATGCCCGAGCAACTCATGCCCAAGTCCTTCTCCCACAGCTGTTCTCCAGCTCTTCATTCCCAGCCTGGATTGAAACTGGGGGTTGACCTGAGCCCAGTGCAGCACCTCGACCTTGGTCTTATTAAACCTCATACCCAAGACTGTTCGCATTATTATCATCCCTTCCCTGAAGACCCTCGGGTCACTGAGATGGCAGGACAGAGACAGGCAGGATCACAGCTGACACAAAAATGTGCCTATGAGCAGAGGTGGGCTGAGGTCTCACTCACTCACCCATTTAGGGGAAAACCCCTTAGAAACACCTGCACCTTTCAAATCACAGTGGGACCAGAAAGGAGGGAGGAAAGGGAGGCTAGCTCAAGCCTAAAAGTGTATTTAAGAATAACTCTGCACCAGCCTACAGCCCCAGAACACGCGTAGGAGGGTGGTGTGTGACCAACCAGCACCCCAAGGCAAGGCTGGTTCCATTCTGGGGGTGGGTGGACACAGCAGCAGCCTCTCTGCAGGACACTGGGCACAGTCCTGGCCTCACACACAGCCCAGGAAAAGGCGAACGTGTCAGTGATACGAGGAAGCAGTGCTAACCTAGGGTTGACAGTCCCAGCCCCCTGCCAAACAGAGTATAGGACCCTTTGCAGGTAAACACTAAAAAGGTGGCAGCACCCCCATCCCCTCTGGCCAGTGCACACAAGGTGCTGTCCCCAGACACCCTCAGAGTGGCCGCCAGGCCCCTCCAAAGCACGTTCACAACAGCAGAGTCTGCTGTGACCCCCTCAGGCACCCCCTCAGCCCCACATCCTCTGTGACACCCCCAGCCCGCTCATCCATATCTCCTCACACTCTCTTCCATGTCCCCTGTGATCCCCAGATACCCCCCGAGCCGCCTCCCGAACCCATTCACAACAACGGAGCCCCTGTGACCCCCAGCGAGCCCCTCAGCCCCCTCCCCCACGTTTCCTGTGACCCCCAGGCCCCTCGCGGCCCCGCACCCTCCTCTCTGCCCGCTGGGCCGGGAAAGTCCCCCCCCCCCCCC